ATATAGTATATATATATATATATATATATATATATATATATATATATATATATATATATATATATATATATATATATATATATATATATATATATATATATATATATATATATATATATATATATATATATATATATATATATATATATATATATATATATGATATGTATATATATATGCAGGTATGTAGACATCTATACATCTATATATATATAAATATATAAAAACATATAAATCTCTAACTAATTTATGATATGGATTGAAAGCAATCGCTTATGTACCTGATTCGCTTAGCGGGTTCAATTTGATATCTGTATATGGAGAGAGGTATTTCAGTGCATAGTGTATTTTTATAAAACGGATAGTATGTACGTATAATCGACCATACAGTATATTTATACTCAGATCAATCATAGTAGCAACTATATACTCTTATTTGGAAATTGATAGTTGGATCTGGGCCAAGTTGGGATTTTTAAACATATTGTCCTAGTCAACAACAGTTAAGCCCGTCTTAAATAATAGATATTGTCTGGTTCAGAGTTTTTTTTATTAGTGTTTTTATTCTTTGACCTTCTCGCCCAGAATTGAAATAATAAAGAGTAGACAGTCTGACACCATGCAGTCATGCACACTGCACATGTGACATGTCACCGACATGTGGTCAAGGTACGCGCCTCCTCACGACTGTCATCTCTGTTTACTCCGGGTTCAGATATTTACCAACATGTCCTGATACCAACAAGTTACCAACGTATTACACTACTGATACCAATATATCCTGCCTATTATGGCGTTAAAAATAATGAATGTCGGAGTACATTTACTATGCCGAGAATGGTTGCCAAGTGCAAACTCAAAACTGATTTGCCAAGCGGCTAAGTAAAAAAATTATTTGGTACAAGTTTGTGATTTTTCATTTTTTTTCGAACCTATTTTCCCCCCCTCGAATTTCAGGGCCAACCACCACGATGATTTTTTTTGAAGCAAGAAGAATCGCAGACACTCAGTAGGAACTACTACTAGGCCGAAGGACTGACCCTCACATCATATGTCAGTCTGACACAACATTCAAAAGTCACAGATACCCCCCTCTAGAGGGAGATATTCTATATATAGAGAGAGAGATAGAGACTAGCGTGAGATATAAAATAGAAAACTATAATGAAATATTACTAATTTCGAGTGCTACCAGTATGTCACTGCTGTGGTCTGTGGACTATTGTGAGTGCATTGTCACTGCAGTAAGTTCTCGAATACTATTTAATGCCCGTTTTTTCATAGTTAATAATCAAAAACAATAAAATTCAACAAATAACGTTCTGAAATATAGGTATCGACTACCTCGTACTAAGCCAGGCTCGCGGCAAGAAATCGGACTAAGATAGTCTATCGTTGACATGGCCTGTGTTGTTGAATGTCAATTTGGTTTGTCTAGTGATCAACATTTGATTGCAGACGTAAGATTGACTCCATGTGTCGCATTAGGTGTATCAAAACCTTCTTTTTGAACTGGACCTAAAGTTGCCGACGCTAGGGTTACTTGGTGTGGCTGTTAGTAGAGGCTAATACACAGTTGGATCCAGTCCATGTTGTTTCAACTTTCGACAAGTAGACCTGCCAACGGCTACTGATATTATTGCAAAGATTGCATGGATGTAACCTGATAGTCGCAGGCGCCTGGAGGTGAGACCAATGGCCCCTCAGAAGTTTGGCCCAGGAGGACTAAAATGAACCCTATTTTAATTTTATCACTAAAGAGTAGACATAGTTCCCGAATTCTTCTGTTTTTGTGTGATTGTACTTTTCAAAAATACACTTTCTGGTCTGTTCCGGTTCGAGCTGATCTGGTATGCGACAACGACACGTCGCAATGGAATTGATGTCGTTTATCAAAACGACATGTCGCACATAAACGACATGTGTCGCACTCATAAACGACGTGTCGCAGATGAAAGCAACACGTCGGTTGACAGCTATGGTGTGACGGTTGGTACTTTGAGTGTTTGGAGACAGTAGAGATGTCAATTTTGGTACTTTTGTCCTTGAAGTAACTGGCAGAAGGACACGACTGTTTTGTCATTGTATCTGATGTTAAAGTTGAAGAAACACTGACGTAGTGATTATATGATAGACCGTGCTATACACTTAATTACTATAGAATAATCACACTGCATAGCTACACACATATACAGTTTATTGATATACTAAAAATACTAAGTTGGTAGTTACTAGTTTCTAAATGTTTATTTTCCGGATGTCAGCAAGGCCAAGTAGCAACTGAAACTCGACATACTAGCCCGCCCAACAAATAAAGGCGGTCGAATACGCAAACGTGATATGATTAGCTGTCTTTAGTTAAATGTTAAGATTAGGAACATATGATTGGTCACATTTTTTTCTCGGAAATAAGGTCTGTCGAAATGATCAAATACGACCATTGCGATCAATGCGACCAATGCGACAACGACACGTCGCATTAACATCAGTGTCGTTTTCTAAAACGACACGTCGCATTCATTGCGACACGTGTCGTTTACCAGATCAGGGTTCGAGACTTCGAAGTTCACCGACCCGTGGCCTTGGGGCGTGGGCCGTGGGCAACTGGGCATGTGTCGACTGCCCGAAACGCTCAGACTCCTCGGAGTCTCAGAGGCAGACACTGTTGTGTACAAATCAGAAATCTCAGTTCTCAAGTTCTGAGTTCTCAGTTAGAGTTTGTCTGACTTTGTCAGTTCGAGTTCTCAGTTCTGAGTTCTGCGTGACTGTTCTCAGTTTTCAGTTTTGATTCTCTCTTCGGTCTTTCAGAATCCAGAAGTACAGAGTGAATGTGTCATTACTCATTTGGAAGGCTATGACTCGTCTAGAATTTGATTTTTAATTTTTTTATAACCCAGCAGCCTGTTGGGCCGTGGCACATGATGGTGATAGTGATGATGGATCATCAGTCATGCATGGGCCCTGGGCTGATGGCTGTCATTACTCATTATAGTCATTTTTTTAATACCATAAAGGTAATAACTTTTAAGTCTATAATACACGTATACAGTATTCACTATGTATATTTTTTACTTTTTAAAAGCAAATAGCAATATTAAAAACTAGAGTTGAGGGGCTATCATTTGACGAGTTTAACTCTTCGGTGACCAAATATGGTAAAAATTATAAAAATTAAAACTATAAACTCATTTCGTTTTCCTCTCCGACTTCCGAGTCGCCGTCCTCCAGGCTCCAGCCTCCATGACTCCATGTCCGCAGACCACAGTCCACAGGCCACTCACCATCCACTGTACTAAATATCGTACGCGAGACTCGAGAGTCGAGAGATATATTGTATGTATATATATTCCAATATTATATCATCCAAGCTTCAAAACCAATAATAAATAAACTTGGTGATACAGTAATCTACACAATCTACATCATAATAACATAATGGTACAAACCGTACTCTTGACTGGCACCAGCGGGTTTATCGCATTGCACATCCTAAAAAAACTCTTAGAAGAGGGCGAGGTGCAAGTACGAGGCACAGTGCGATCAACATCAAACGACAAGAAAACACGGCCTATCAAAGAACTGGTATACAATGCCAAGTATCCTGTTGAGCTCGTCGAGGCTGATCTTATGTCCGATTCTGGCTGGGCTGAGGCTGTGAAGGGGTGTGATTACGTGCTGCACACAGCTTCGCCTTTCTACCTGGCACATGGAGATGCAGGTAGAGAGAAACTCGTCAAACCAGCGGTAGAGGGCACCCTGAGAGTACTACGCGAATGTGCTAAGCCTGGGTCTCAAGTCAAGCGCGTGGTATTGACATCCAGTATAGCAGCAGTGGCGTTTGGGGTTGAGCATGAGGAAGGTTACATGTACTCAGAACGGGACTGGACAAATCCAGATTCACCGAAAGTCGATCCCTACACTGAGAGTAAAACACGAGCGGAGAAGGCTGCTTGGGATTTCGTAGAGAACAATCGCGATCACAGATTCGAGCTCTGTACTATAAACCCAGGGATGGTGTTTGGGGTATGTTTTGTAGATTCATAATAGTCTGTTGTGTGCTTGACCTCTGGTGGTGTGTGTCTGGGGTTGTGTCCGGGCATGTAGCGTAGTGTTGCATACTGCTGATAAATCACATGTATGCCTATGCGTGCATAGTTTCAAATGAACTGGTGGCTGTGCATATGTATGTGCATGCGTCTATCAGCTTCTCGATCGTATTTGTGCTTTGTTGCGTCTCGTTCGGAGGTCCTTTGAAATTTACAGCTACTATATGCTCGTGCGTTGTCAACTAGTACCTCTTGGGATTTGAAGAGGAAAATTAATACAACGTACACGCTTATTCACTTTAGAGCTGAGCGCAAACAGTGTGTTGTGATGAATGATCCTACTACTTGAACTGAGTTTTGCTTTCAAAGTCAATACTAACGATGCGTAACTATCACAATGCTCGCGTATTTGAACGATATCCAGTCTAGTACAGCCTTTTGTATATGTATGCTAAGCTTTTAGGCTTATAATTATCGTCCCACAAGCTACTATTCAATGGTTTGTATTTTTTTAAATCGTGACTACAGTTTGTCTATTTAAGATGTAAATCGTTATGTCTGGAATGCACAACGCACGATTGTGCCAACAACCTTCTCCTTTCCTTTATCAAGTCATGGTGCACGTGATTAAACTAGGTAAGTGTGTATCCAACACCCGCACGGGTTACGGTTATGTATGCGGTTCTTAAATGAATAAGCTTTATCAACCTACGTACATGTGTTCTTGTGCAAAGGAACTAGTATTGCCTAATGCGCAGGCGTAGCTTAATATTGTATGCATCATCCTCCGCACAGCTCACCTTTTAGAATGTCATATACTTAAAGTATTCAGTTGTCGCTTGACGCGTGTTCCACAAGGGGTTCGCTACATTTAGCTTACCGTCCAAAAAAAGCTCTACATACACATCACGATAGCATGAAGCACGGATTCTGCAGCACCTGACCTATCACATGCGCTTTTCACCGATCCTATAGGAAACGCTGGGAGCCACTGGAACCAGTGTGGATTTGGTCAAGGATATGGTGCAAGGCAAAATGCCCATGCTTCCCCACTTCAACATGCCGGCAGTAGATGTGCACGATGTGGCGCAGGCCCATATAGAGGCCATGCGCAGACCCCTTGCGACGGGCAAGCGGTTTGTGCTGTACGCCAATGATATATGGCTCACAGAAATGGCTGCGGTGATCAATAAGGAATTCGGTGCAATGGGGTACAGTGTAGCTGAGCGCAAGATGCCGCATTTCCTGGCGTATGCTATGTCGTTTCTGAGCAAGGACATGGACATGATCTATAAGGGGTGGGGCGTGCCACACCCGTGTGACAACACACATACGCGAGAGATACTCGGCATTGACTTCAAGAGTGTGGATCAGAGTATTGTGGAGACCATCCACTGCTTGATTGAGAAGGGTCTAGTGGAGAAGAAGGACACCTACATACCACGTGCGTAAGAGCGCCAACCAATCACAATGACGAAGTAAAGTACTACAGCTACTGTGCGCTGTTTAAGGAGATGGACGGGTCCATGCAAGTGTCGTATAGCTTGTCTCAGTCAGCCATGTGACCTATTTCTGTGGAAGTTTATTGTTTTCAACGTGGGTAAAGCAATGTCTCGAAGCCTTTTGGTCGCAGCTGTACGACTGCAGCCTATTTCCCCATCCGCGAGAGAGAAATAAGTAAAAGAAGTATGAAGTTTTTGGCACAATCAGCGCATACAAACGGTGGGCTCCTCCACTGCACAGCTCACTCACTCTCTTCTGGCCTGTCAGTATCCACACTTCAAGCCACCCACCCAGTAATATCCAATCATGTCAACGGTACAACTAAGAGTCTAATCAATAAACAATCTGACAGGCGCATGGCCATTGTACCCACGTGCTATCCAATCTGCGCTTTGACGATTTACATGGGGTCCCCACTACCCCTTGTTGGTGCTAGCCTTAAGTCAGGTTGTCTCAAACAAAGCAGAGATACAAATGTTTTTATAGGACGTTTCCTTCCAACTCGAAAGGGTGTGCTCTTCGGAGAGTGCAGTCAAATAGACAGCGACCACAGGGCACAGAATGTATACACATCATAAAAGTAGCTACTAGTATATCATATAACGCATGTTTAGTATTTTATTCAATGTACGATTCCTGTCCGTGTACGGTGCCCAACAATTTAAATATTACATGTATCTGAAATTCCACATAAATCATATATATATATATATACATATATACAGACATCCATACATACATACATACATACATACACACACACACACACACACACACATACACACACACA